ACTCCTGCCTCAGTGTTGAGAACTGTACCATGGACAGGGTTCTGTCTCCAAACCAACAGCCATTACCATCCACTAAACAGATACTGTGCCAAGGGCTGAGGGAGCTGGGCCTGTCCAGCCTGAAGGCCGAGAGGGGACCTGATCAGTGTGTATAAATACATCAAGGGAGGGAGTGAGGAGGATGGGCCTGGCCTTTTTTTTCAGTGGTAGCCAGCAATAGGACAAGAGGAAATGGCCACAAACTGAAGCACCAGAAGTTCCACAAGAACTTAAGGAAAAATTTCTTGTCAGTGAGGGTGACAGAGCACTGAAAGAGGTTGCCAAGAGAGGTTGTGGAATCTCCTTCTCTGGCGATATTAAAAATCCACTTGGATGCAGTCCTGTGTAACATGCTCTCGGTGACCCTGCGTGTGCTGGGGTGGGGTTGGACTAGATCTGCTCCAAAGGTCCCTTCTGACCTTAATGATTCTATGATTACCAGTATTTATAGAGAAGTTTAAAATATGCCACGTGCCTGAATAATTTTTTAAGGCCCCGATGGGCTAACTGGCAGGGGCTGATAGGCTGGCTGTGTATTAGATCTGGCATCTGCTCTGTGCTAATCACATCACATATCACATCTCCTTTAAGTTCAACTCCATTGAACTTAAAATTGTGCAGCTCGTCTACTCACACAATGTATTCCCAACACCCAGCGCTGGCTCTAAGTGATGTCATATCACTCTATGAAACCTGCCCTGTATGGATGCTCTACTTTTCTTCTGACAGGTTCCTACAAAGCACGTAATCAGGCTCTTTCATCCTTACTGATAGAGACTTGCAGCAGTTGCCTCCCCAAATGCACACAAGACTGAAGATCAAGAGACAGTTCAGAGGAGACAAGGAAGGATAAAGGGCAATGGGTCCTCTCACTCCTAAAACCTGGGAGCTGGTTAAATAAATAAATAAATAAAAAGAGTGAAAATACTCTTTCGAGAAAATAAATATTCTTTGGGAGAAAAAAATTGTTGTGATTTAGGCAATGTGGCTGTTAGCAGCAGAAGGAAGGGGCACACTTCCTCAGGACCATGAGAAATATCAAGATATTTTCAAGAGGAAATAGGAATGTATTAATGGAGGGGAAATAAGAAAGCAAATTATCCCTCAGGCCCTCTTTTGCCTTCATTACCACCATACCAGTGACAAAAGATGCAATGAGAACATGACTGTAGTATTTCAGTGCTGCAATTCATGCAAAAAACTTGTCCTTTTCATTGCTCAGCCTATCTTCTTTTTAGCACTCTCCTTCATGGAGCTCAAAACTCAGTGGGGACTTAGATAGTTCCTAGAACAAACGTCTGTGTTTCTGTAGTCAGTGCCTTTGGTTCAGTCCCTACTGCACAAATGAAAATACCTGCTGATTGAATCTCATTATGTCACTGCTGGCATCACACTCTTTAATAACAAAGAAGGAGTTCTACAAAGGAATCACATTTCACCTCAGAGGCTTATATAAAAGCACGCTAACAAGGAAAAATAGCCAGAGTACAGCAATTTGGGCTTCTGCATACTGAGCAACAGTAAATGAAAAAAAAATTGCTCAAAAGGAATATATTTATTTTTTTCTTTTCCTTTCTTTCTTTAGCTTGAATGTCATTACTGTTATCTAGATTCCTCCTATGGAAAATTTCTGCTTTATCAGAAATCAGAACATGATTGTGTGGGAGGGAGAGAG